TGTTTTTTGTTTTGGGGCAGGGCAATCCAGGTTCTTATCACCCTCAATCTTTGGCGAAGGATGAGGAGGAAAGGGCTGCAAAAAAGAACATGCCTCCACTTACTAGTGGAAATATGTTTTTTCTGAGGAAATTTGTTAGTGCAAATATTTTTATGAAATTTTTCTTCAAAACATAGAAAAATTTAGAACTTAAACGTTGTTTTATAGGTGGCATATTTGATGTGGTATCACATTTCGATTTGGATGCTATGATGACGTATAGAGATGCTAGCTAATTTTTGTATGTGCTTTTGTATGGGTGGTTGCTCCTTTTTTTATGATTTGAGATAAGGCCCACAGCAAGAAAAATACAACAGATAAAATAATTTTCCTAAAAAATATAGTGCTATGATCAAGCAGCCACTCATATATAGTCAAATCATGTCTTCAATGAAAGAAAACACATTTGAAAAGGTCATAGGAGAGACTAAGTATTTCAAATGGACCAATGAAAAATAATCTAATAGCCTGATGTAAATCAAAATTCTGCAGAATTTCTCCAAGCAGAACCAACATACAACACCTTGTCTCCCAAGCGACAAACCATAGCATAAAGCAAATGGAACAGAGAAAAATATGGATGGTGGGAACGATTTTCACGAAGGAAATAGTAGAAGGCTATGTTACAAAAGCAAGAAAAGGTGCCCTTAAACATATGAATCAACAATATGAGTTTATGCAGACCAACTCAAAGGTCTTCAAAATTGATAGAAAAGCTTGAAGAGAAAGAGAGAAAAAGAGAACAAGAAGTGCATGAAATACCCACCAATCTAACTCATGGAGTGCTTGTTTCTCTTTTTTTAAGTATTAGATAATTGCAGTGTACAATTATTCCCTTGACTATGATGGCTTTGTCAACATGGTAAATATAAAATGAGTACAGCATTATACATTAAGTACATATTCTTAACGTGCCTAATTGCACATAGTGGTTGAACATACATAAAACTTGTCCTTCAAAAAATGATGATTTTCACTTGTACGTCCTTTGGTGAAGATACCAACAGTTTGACTCTCGGCAGTGTTTTAAAATGCAGCTGCATCGCCACATATGCGACCACATCATGCTGGATGCGCTTGCATCCGCATTAGAGAGAGAGAAGAAAAAGTCCAGTAACCCTCAATGAAGGTAACTTTCTCTCCCCTCTTTTCTCTCCCCTCTTGTCTCTCCCCTCTTTCTTTCTCTTCATCCTTTCTGTCTCTCTCTTCTCCTTCTTTTCTCTCTCTTACTCTCTTTCTTTCTCTTCTCTTCTTCTCTCTTCTTTCTTCTTCTCTCTCTCTCTTCTCTCTCTCTCTCTCTCTCTCTCTCTCTCTCTCTCTCTACTACTACACTACGTACTACGTACGTACGTACGTACGTACGTTACTCGTTACGTACGTT